GGAGCGCGCGCCTCCCGCCCTCGCGCCGGGGCTCTCTCGGTTTCTCAGAGCCGCACACTCCCCGGCGCTTCTGCCACAGCCGTCTTCTCGGCCCTGGCTCTCTAGCCCGCAGACTCAGCCTCGGACTCTCAGCGTCTCAGGCCTCCTCCCCTCCCTCCGCCACTCCCTGCCCTTTTCCCTCCCTTCTCTCCCACCCGGTACACCGAGAGAGCCTGGATACGAAGCAGGCGGGCTTGAGAGGGAGTTAGAAAAATGGAGGTTCCGCGCCTGGATCATGCCCTCAACAGCCCCACCAGCCCCTGTGAGGAGGTGATCAAAAACCTCAGCCTGGAAGCCATTCAGCTGTGCGACCGGGACGGTAAGAGCGGCCGGGACCAGAAGGACAGGGGCCGAGCCCGGGGCCAGGCGCCGGGGCTGCTCCGGCTCCGCGGACTCTGCCCGCACCCGCGGCAAGTCTTTTGTTGTCCTTTCTGTGCAAATAAATGCAAGTGAGGGTTCCCCTCAGCCCACTCGCCCTCTCCTCGGACCCCATAAACAATGGGACCCCGGGGCTAGCCCGTTGCCACGGAAAGTCGCCGTCGTCCCCGGTTCCGGCGCCGCTGGCCATCCTCGCCCGTCTGGCCCCGGCGGTGGAGCTGCCCGGGCGAGGGCCGTGAACGAGGCGTTTCTGATATTTGCCGCAGTCCCTATTTCCTGGGTTTGCCGGCATCGAAGGGGAAATGCCCTCTGGATGTTTCTAGCACCCTCCCATTCCTCCCCCCCGCCCCCTACACACACAGACACACACACACACACGCACACACTAGTTAGCATTCTTTGCCCAGAAACTTATCAGTTCCATTTTAAAACCTCCCATCTTCAGAACTACAAACCGCCCCCCCCCCACGCCGCACACACACAATTTAGAATTCTTTTTATCCTCTCAAAATGGGATTGAGACGACAGTTGTGTTTTTTTTGTTTGGGGTTTTGTTTTGTTTTTTAGTGAAGGGACAGAAAGAGTGCGTTTCAGCACCAAGGACAGCCACAAGCTTCGTGGTTTGGGGCTGTGATTCAGAAAAACTGTCAAAAATCTGTAAAGGAAGTGGCCTAATATATCTGCTGTGATTCAGAATATGTAGCTAATATTCGCCATTGTGCGTTGATATTATATGGCTTATTCTATTGTTAAAGTTGGCAGTCTCCTAAAGAAGGAAATTGAACCCAAGTCTGAGCGTTAAAGAGATAAGCTAGTGCTATGTGCAATATGGGTAGTTCTAGTGCTTCTATGTTAGTTGAAGTAGTTCGAGAGTCAGTGCTATCTCAGTAATGTGGAATAACACTTCATTTATAAGGAAGTCATCTGACTAGTAATTGATTGGCCAAATAATTGTGAAATTGTACATCTGACAATGGAAAAACAATTTGTGTTATCAAGATGACCTGAACAATTTGGGCTGTAAATAAAATTAATGTTTAACTATATAGAGAAACAGTGATTTAAAAATGTTTTTAGCCAGTGTTATGTAGAGATACTATTAGAATCACAATAACGTAAAATTTATCTTAATAGGTAATCCAAATAGAGAGCAGAGGTCTTGTTTCCAAAGTCATTTATGCGGTAATAACTTGGTTAGGCATTGCTGTACAGTACAGTTTAGGTCAACTGAACACTGAATTTGTTTATTAATAAACTTAGGAGACAGAATAATTGCTCTTTGAAGCCAAAGTCACTTTAAATAATTTCTGTAACAGGCGTAATATGGATAAATAAGTACTCTTGCAAAAGCTGCTTATATTCTCTTAATCCTTAGACTATTTTGGTCACCATAGTAATAGTTGCATATATTTATGGCATCTAAAAATCATTATTTTGGTATTCTATATATAAGCTTGCACTGTTAGACTGTAAAGATTATTTTTAATATACCACATAGGAAGTCATATGGGTTTTAGTTTATACTTTTGTGAAATGACTTTTTGTAATATTACCATTGTAAATATTTTGATTTTCCCAGATTGGTTTGACAGAAAACCAAGAATCTAATAATAAGTACATTTCATTTTTATTTACTTTAATGATATATCAAAAGCTCATTACTATAGTTATTGGAAATAGGCCTTATGGTTGTTCCTCAGAACCCAGTAATCTCAATACTTAAAATTGCCTTTACCACATTTTAAAGATATTCGGGAAAATAACGTTTTTACTTTTTATGAACTTTACAGAGTTAATAGTGTAGAGTGCTAAAATTAATGCTGCATTTTTTTGTGGTCTCTTCTAGAATGGTGGATATTTTATTTTGGTAATTTTTTTAGTTTCAGTTCCCATTATGAATCCTGAAAAATGAGCAAATTATGTAACATTTAATTATGGGGGAGGGTGCTGGTACTAAACAATAACTGAAAATTACTAATTATTTACACTTCTAATTGATTAAATATTGATTAATTGACTAGGGTTTCATTTTATAAAAAGCTTATACCAACAAATACAAAAAGATAACTCTTCTATTAAAAGATGTGTAAAATTTGGAAATAGCTTGTGTAGAGATGTTGTGAAATGCTTCATTTTTTATTTTGTGACTTTACATGTCAATTCTAAAAATGTTAAGTTGACTTCATATAATTAAGAGGAGATAATACAATTGTTCTTACAGATCAATTTAAAAATGTTCCATTAAATTTTCAGCTAGATAGATGCTATTTGCTCCCTTCACTTCTTTCCTTTCACTTCTTCTCAGGTCTCATTATTTTACTTCTATAAATGTATAACATAGAAAGATTATGATGTAGCAGAGGATCTATTATGTGCTTGAGCACATAATAAATGCTGTATTTTCATCATTTTAAGATCATAGAAATATATTTGTCTTGTTTGCTCTTTACTTTTCTCACTTTATTTTACTCTATTAGCCTGGCAATGGTGAAAAAATGAGAGCAATATGAATTCCTTGGAAGTAGAATAAAATAGAAAAGGAGAAAATATAATATATTGTTAAATATACATTTTCTTTTACCCTATCCACTTGTAGGTGTTTTTAATTTTATAATTTTTTGCATATTGCATCAACTAGGAGCTATAGTTGTTGGTAAAAATAATTATGTCTTAGGTTTTCTTGGCTCTCCTCCTTTGTGTCATTTTCTGTCTGTCAGTTGCCTGTTTTCTTATAAATTAATGTTTACATTATTAGCAAGAATTCACAATGTTTCTTTTTCTCGTAGTTTCTCAAAGGATTTAATAGTCTGTGAAGAATATGGAATAGAGTCCAAGTGGTCATATAATTGAATTTTTGAATTAAGCAAGAGGGTTCTTATACACACACACATTATCTCATGTTTGCTTTTATCTTAGGCATGTGTGCTTTAGTTGTTAGTATATGGTCCCTGCCTGGATGTTACTTGTGGTCGTAGATGTGTTGTAGATCTAGTAGTTTGTATAATCTCTATTGCAAGTAGAAGAGTGTTTTCTGTTCCTCCATCTCTGCTGTGCTGAAGTATCCTCAGGTTGCATATATAACATACTTTAATTGTAGCTTTTAAATGAAGGGAAAAGTACATTAATTTCTCATATACAAGCATCAGTAATATGAGACACAATTTCCAGTTTGTTTCTTAACATAGATACTTTAACCCTCATGATAAGACAAAACAGCCCTAGACCTCATACATCGAATTCTACATTACTTGTACTTTTCATCTATTTTATAATGCATATGTATGTAGAAGATTTTTTCTTGCTGAAAAGGAAATATCTATATGTTGTTTTACATTTATCCAAGCTCCCTGTACTCTTGTTATAATAATAAGGGGAAAAAAACAAAATTAATTTGTTGTTTAGTATTTAATCCATCCCCAAGATTTCCTAGCTTAACAAGTATTATTTCCATGATCAAGTCATTTTATGACTGCTTAGATTATAATTTCTGGAGTTTGTGATGCTAGCAAGAGAACACGTTTTTAAAAATTTCACGGACAGAAGCTGACAAATTACCTTCTCTTTGTCTCTAACAATAGTTTTATGGAGGATAAATAATAAGCTATTCTCCTTTTTACATAGTTAAAAAGATAATTTTTAAAATTTAGACATTATCTGATTCATTTAAATTATAAATCAGTTGGGACTTCCTTCTTATTGCTCATTGACATGTGAATTAAAAATAATTTAACTTTGGAAATCTAGAGTAACATGGAAATGCTTAGTAGCACGGTGCTGTATTAGCTAATCCTTAATGACATTTTCTGAAGCAGACATTTAAGAGGAGTACCCATAACTGTTACCTTTCATAGTACAGGATTGTAAGGTAGTCATTACTCAGTCTCACTGACATGTATATAGCTTACTGGTAATACCATTTTAGAATCAGAATGACCTCTGACAGAATATTGACACTTGTTACCTTAGGCAAATTCTTTAATTTTTGTTTAGCCTCAAGCTTTCTCGTGTAAAATGGGTATAATAACGTTGATCCTGTAGATTGTTAAAATAATTAAACCAGGTATTACTCATAAAGCATTTCTCACAATTGATGCAAAATAGAGACTAATGATTATTATTGTAAATGGAATATTATTCTCCACATATATTCTTGAGATGAACTGCTTTTTATTTTTCTTTTCTTTGCCAATATTTGTTTTTTTTTATGTCAGTTGCATTTTATTTACTAAATCCTTATGTCACTTCAGCTTCATGTATAGTCAATGGAAACTGTAAATTCTGAGTTTTAAAAGGACAATAAATTTTACAATCACAGTTACAGTACTCTATACTTTGCTTATATTTTTCTAACCCATCAGTAACATAATTGTCAGCCTTAATTCTACAAGCTCTTTTCAGCTTCTACTTCAAACCTACTGTTTGCTGTTTCATGTGCCTTGTGACTTTGATACCTGCTTTGGGTAGGTATTTGCATCAGAGCGCTTCTCTGTTCTTAATTTAAAAGTTTTTTTTCATGATTTTTTTTCTGAGGATAGATCTATACTAGCATATGTGACCTCTGGATTCATTTATTTGACCTAGATAAGACTATAGCGATATGATATATTTTTATTAGTTGGTATGAAACAAAACAAAAATAAAATAAAAACTTAAAAGAAAACAAAAAAAAAGCTTGAAAACCATCAGATTATGTTAAACCAATTTATATTCTTGGTAGGAGTTTTACTCATTCCCAGTGAAGAACAGGAAGTTATTAGAGTAAAATTCACATCAAAGGATGTGTGACCAGACTCCCTCCAGTGGTAGAATGACTGATGTGTCATAAGTAGTAACACTGGCAACTTGCTTTGTTGCCTAGGTAAGCCAGTCAGAAATTCACTCCATAGAACACTATCTAGACAACTTCTAAGTCACTTGGTTTACCACTGCTGATATTTCCTC